AGACGTCCACGCCGTGACACGCCCTCGGTTTACGGGAGAGACCGCCCTCTCCTTCGACGTGAGGGGTCATCGTCCGGGGTAGCGTTCGCAGGAGGTGACGAGAGGAGGACTAGGGGTAGCCGCCGCAGGAGGCAGCGGTCTCCTCCCTCGACACATGATGAGGTGCTGGAGGAGGAGCATGTGACGGCCATGGCCTCGTCCTCGTCGGAGGACGAGAGGGGTCAGCAGACAAGCGAGGGAGATGAGGTGCTCGAGGGCGAGGGAGGTGAGGCGCTCGAGGGCGAGGGAGAGGGTACCGCTACCTGGACTCTCTACGAGCGAGGTCCCGTGAGCCTCCCTCCGGTTCCGCTTCCTCACAACCGCTCAGTGATTCAGCCTATGGCAAAGAGGTAAGTAACTATGGATGTTATCACAACTACTTCATAAGATATGTTGGAAATCTTAAGAGAAACTGATAAATTTTCTTAATCACTTGTGAAGGGCCTGGTTGGTTTTGTCGGGTACTCCAGCACGCACCCCCGTGAGCATCCTTGGTGTTTTGTGTAGGAAATGGTACCCCGGCATTGTGCAACTGTCCGAAGAGCCGATGGTGCGGGAGCCGGCCTCCAACTGGGGACAGTGCGTCTTTGGTCACGGATGACACTTACCGCAACAAGGGGAGCGAGTATTGGCGGAGTTTTGGGTAAGTCTCTCTTGCACAACATTGCTTAATACATCGCATTCATTGGTTAAATCTTTTATCGAAATAATGAATGGATACATTGGTTTTGTATGCGAGAAATATTTCAAGGTCGAAGAAGGACTTGAGGCCCAAAGCGGATCGGTAGGTGCCGCAGCCTTGTAGGAAGTACGTCACCGAGATGCACCACCATGGGCGGCGTCGTGCCCACATAGACTACTACTGGTCGGTGCTTAGGCGTCCCTCCCCAAGCCTCAAGCAAGACGGATTCTACTGACCCGGGACCAAGACCTTGAGGTAGGCGAATAACATTCATAATGATTCGTTTTGATATTAAGTAGGTTCAATTTCATCTTCTTATATGTCAAATACTCGATGACTTGTAGGTGATTCCCCTGGTGGTGCCGATCGTATCCCGAGTCTTTGGGCCATGATCGTGGACAAATGGTTATCACAGGACTTTGTTGACACGCACGAGAGGCGTAGGAACAACGTCGATGAGGCAAGGTCCAACTCACCATCAAAGGCATTTGTAGCCTCCCGGATACAAACAAGCATACGTAAGTGATTTCTTTCATTTATTTTGATGCTCAATTCTGCTTGATTTCTCACCATCTTCCCATCTTTCTCGCAGGAGGCTACACACCCGGGCGAGGAGGTCTCGGAGTTCTCTGCATGGGCTATGTCCCACATGGGCAGGGCGTCGTCCTTTGTCTCCTTCGACCCGGCTGCCCCGCCCTAGGTGTACTCTGACCTGAACGTGTACACTAAAGTCCAAGAGTACACGTCAACGGTAAGGGAGATCTATGGGGAAGATTACAATGTGCGCACTGAGCCCATTGATGTAGAGGCGATCATGAGGCTCGGAGGAGGCAAGAAGCACGGGCGGCTGTGGATTGCAGACGGCGCCATCGACTCCACCACTGTTCCCTCCCTCGACGCTATCCGAGCACAGAGCACGAGCTCCAGCCAGCCCATATGTCCACGGCCTTCTCCAGCACTACAGCAGGTCCAAGCACTCCAGGTAATTCCTGTTTTACTCATCGCACGTAGATATTTACACACCTAAATTAGATTTGCATTACTGATACATTGGAGTGAAATATTGCAGGCCGAGCTGCAAGAAACAAAAAGGCAAAGTCAAGAGCAGAACGCGGAGCTGACCACACAGCTCTAGGCCCAGAAGGTCGCGTTCGAGGCCGCGCAGAAGCAGATGGCGGAGATGATGGTGATCATGCAAAGTCTTGGGCAAGCATCGGGTGTACCTATGCAGTTTTCAGCTCCTCCACCTCCTCCACCTCCTACTCCTGCAGCTACTCCTGTAAGTATGAAAGTTCACTTTTCGCTTGTGCTTTGCATGTATGTCGGCCTTCGTGCCGTTGTGGATGTCGGCGTTCGTGCCGTTATGGATGTTGGCGTTCGTGCCGTCGTTTCTTGCAGGTTTTGGAAACCTCCCCGTGCAGGGGAGGTGCTGCCGAAATTTTCAATTGAGTCTAATCTTTTTTATTCCTACAATACTAGATGCAATCTCTAAGTTCCAAAACTGTTTTCCCGGATTACTCACACATGCAATCTCTGCTCCTTTGTGCAGCTTCCGTCCGCGGGTTCCAATCAACCCGCTAGTGCGTCACTGGGTGATCCTGCTTTTCCTTCACCATCGTCTCATAGGCTAGCTTGATGAGGACTCGTGCTAGGTGATGTGGTTGAACTTTAGCGTGATTTGTGATTTATGGTTGTGACTTGTGCTTGGATTTCATTAACTTGTCGTAATAAACATGTGAATGATGATGAACATGTGACTTGTCGTTGTAATATATTGTGATTTGTGGTTCACAATTATGGTTGTGATATATTGTGAGAAAATGGGTTCTGTGTGATATATATATATATATATATATATATATATATATATATATATATATATGTATATATATGAAATGCTTGTGTCGATGGAATGCAAAAAACAAAAAAAAATTTAAATTTCTGCCTCTTTGCCGAGGGCAATGACCAAGGCCCTCAGCAAAAAAGGATCCTTTGCCCAGGGCCCAAGCAATAGCCCTCGGCAAAGATTTTTTTGGAAAAAAATCCTGACAATTTCTTTGCCGAGGGCCAGGGAGCAGGCCCTCGGCAAAGGGTTAAAAAAAATTCAAAAAAACCATTTCTTTGCCAAGGGCCGGCCCTCGGCAAAGAATTTTTAAAAAATCCTGAAAATTTCTTTTTTTAAAAAAAAAAAAAAAATTTATTTGCCGAGGGTCGGCCCTCGGCAAACAAATTAAAAAAAAAACCATTTCTTTGCCGAGGGTCGGCCCTCGGCAAAGAAACCGTCAACGGCGCCGACGCTGACGGCTTCTTTTCTTTGCCCAGGGCCGTCCTGGCCCTCGGCAAAGGCTTTGCCGAGTGTCCGATAAAGGGCTCTCGGCAAAGACCCCTTCGCCATCTAAAAATTCCTCGAGAGGTCTTTGCTGAAGACAGCCCTCGGTAAAGCCTTTGCCGAGGTTTTCTAGGCCTAGCATGCGCCTCCAGCAGTGACACATATATATAGACTATGGAGTCTTCACTGAATCCTGGGTTCGCCACTGGACGCAAGGAGTGATGTATGCTTGTTTAAGCAGTGTTGTCGCTGCATGGATGTTGACAGAGCCAGTCGTACAAGCGTGCGTAAGATCACACGTGTATGCCGTCCGTCTCCATCGGTCGTTGCATTGTATAGTACTAATAAGAACCAAAAGCTAAAACGGATCACGCTTAGCTTGCGTTACTTGACTAACAACTCTAAAACACGCTCCCTAACGAGCTTTCTAGAGATAAACTATTGTGGATCGGAGTACTGTACTGTACAGCGTGGAGGATCGAGTAATTAGTACATACTAGCAGTGTATATATGCATGATACTAATATGCACACCTATGATCATGCATCCAACGATTTTTTTTAAAGGATCCCGAAGAGGTAATGCCTCTGTTCCAAGCAGCACCATACCATACAAGAAAAAAAATACCCATGGAATTGAACAGTTCCTACAGTCTCTTTCAGTCTCTTTTATGGTTGTCATACTCCCTCCGTCCTTTAATAAATCAATTTATGAAGTTATCAAGTTATTTTTTTTAAATTTGACCAAATTTATAGAAAAATACAACAATACTTATGACATCAAATGAACAAATTATAAAAATATATTTCATAGTGTATGTGATGATATTAATTTGGTGCCATCAATTTTTGTTTCTTTTTTCCATACGTCAAACTTAAAAAAAAGTTTGACTTAGAACAATTCTAGAAATTGATTTATTATTAGAGACTGTGGAAGTACGTTCATGTTAAATTTCTTTGTAGATTTCTTTACACAGTTATTGATGATCCACCATTGTTATCGATCAAGCGACCTCTATTGAGTTATCCCTCAATCTGAATTCCCTCATCTTTTAATTAATTGCACATCTAACTCAGAACTCATTAATGATCGATATATACATGTATGTTGACCCCGAGAAACTCTGTTGTATTTACATACTCATGTAGATAATAAGTGAACAAATTATTCTTTGGAAAACACAAGATATATAGGCGCATTATTTGCGATTTTTGTTAGAAATATCTATCGGAACTGAGTTAATCCATGATGATTAGCGAATTAATAATTTATAAGTTTACTATTTATATAAGTTGTACTGTACATCCCAACAAATAATGATCGACGAATGATTGCAGAGACGTTACGTACGCACGGACTCCGCAGGCACGCAGAGAATTCTAGGAAGCTTCTGCCGTGAGCGCGCAGCCGGCATTGGTACAATGCTCTCGAGTGTTCTTCTCGGGCCACTGCATCTATCCGGCCGTCCGGTCCGGGTCCGGGTCCGGGTCCGGATCCGTCCCACATACAGGCATACAGCATACAGGAAATTATAACTTTACCGACAATATCCAACAACTCAATCTTGTATGCAAGACATTTATTTCTTTGATCATATATATATATATATATATATTCAGTAGCCAACTACAGAATAAATTATTCTGTAGCCACCTCCATTTATGATAATTTTATATACTAATTTACGATAAAGTGAATACATATTTACGATAGTTACGTTACTATAACACATGAGGATATTTACCGTAACGTTATAGTAAATCATATAGTAAGAAGTTACTATAATCTCGTAAATTATTATAGTAATTATTGTAACTCAAAGTGACCACAGAATAAATTATTTTATAGGCAGCTGTAGAACAGTAGTTCTATAGAGCCGGCCGGTAGGCATACAATTGTACGTAACCCACGCATACATGGCATTCTCATATGTCCAACTGCATTCGCTCGCTACTTCTTCTTCCGCGCAGACGACGAGGGCTCGTGGTTCCTGAGCATCTCCTGCAGCACCTCGTCGTCGAGGTACTCGAACTCGATCACGTCCCTGCCGCCAGAGCCCTGCTGGGGCTGCTGCTGCTGCCTGGACGAGGAAGACCCGGAGGACCCGGAGCCGCGGGAGGCGGCGGCGTAGACGGCCGCGTCCTCCGGGAAGTTGAGCACGGCGTTGGCGCCGCGCATGGAGTAGGCGGAGCGGTCGTACGCCCTGGCGGCTTCCTCGGCGGTGTCGAAGGTGCCGAGCCAGATGCGGACGCCGTGGCGGCTCGAGTCGCGGATCTCCGCAGCGTACTTGCCCCAGGGCCGCCGCCGCACGCCGCGGTACTTGGTCGGCTCGCCGCCTCCGCCGTCCTTGGACCAGTCGCCGTCCATAGCGACGATGGCGATGGGTGCGGTTGGTGTCAGCAGGTATGTCAACTGATTATAATCGATGTGGCAATCAAATTGCTGGCTAGCTACCTTCAGCCTGCAATTGTGTGTTCTGCAAGCCTTGCGAGGATTGAATTATATCGATGATAGTAGGGTGGTGGCGGGAGCCGGGAGGGAGGGAATGGAAGAGGAAGGCGCGCGCGGAGGGAGTTTAAAAGGGCCAGGGAAGGTACATGGGAAAGGGATATTGATGGTGGGCCCGGCACGTGCTTGCATTGGTTCCTTCCTTTTGTTTCCAAAAGGAAAAAATGGATTACAAGATTTCTGCCGCTATTCCACCATATATTTATCATTTCTGCATGCATTAGGTTTATGTGGGGCGGTGAGCGCGGGGGAGGAGAATCACCAGAATTGAACTGAACTATACACTACCAACTCCCTACGCATGCTTTACGCTAGTTATAATATATATATGTCGAGCATCAATATTCTCTTGATTCGAGAATATAAGACGTTTCAGTTTTGCCACTAGTTAAACCTTTTCAACTGTAACCAAGATTATGAAACTACTCCCTATTAGGATCCTATACAATACTACATTAAATAAATACACTATCAACACACATTTTTGTTTAGGGACCCATCTCTTTAATTTACCGTAGGTTTTTTCAGTTGCTTAGGGTTTAGTCCACATAAATATTTCGACGAAATCAGATGATTTTCGGTCAGGATCGTGTTTTCCTGCGATGACTTTGATGACTGCCACGACGAGATCGCCATCGCAAGTGTCTATTTCACCGACAGGTGGCCATTATGTGCAAGGAGAGGGGTGCTTCTGGGTGCCCCCAATGAAGACAGTTACTCCGGGTCATCGATCTCATCATCGTTGGTCGCTGAGCGGAAATCAAGGTCTGAAGGTGATGAATTTGCATTCTATGCTGCTCCTGACGATGCAACCGCTGATATTCTTTCATCGATTCAGATACGTTTTGGACTGGTTCCGAAACATTGGATCTTGCGGCATATATGTCCAATGTTTTGGGTTGGTCATTGGATTCGGCATAAGGACTGTACTTTGTCTCCTGCATTTGAGGGATGCTATTGGAGAAGAAGATGAAAAATCTGGATAGAATATTGTATATTTTTTATTTTAGATTTTTACATATGTAATTTAGGGATTTATTGTGCCGGGTTTTAATATAATCCCCTTCATTCGCAAAAAAAAAAACACATTTTTGTGGTGAATTTGATTAATGAAATATGTTGTACTATTGCTAGTTTTAACGTCACTGATTGTTATTGGTGTATATAAATCTGGTTAAAGTCAAAAGAAACTGTAATTAGTCAGTGAGTAGAACAAAAGTAATAAAATACCTTACTTTTTACAACGGAGGACATTCGAATCGAATCGTGGTACCTGCGGTCGTCTCCTTTTCGTCACCACCGCCATCATCAACCGCCCTTAATTTTTCTCCTTTTCATTTCTTCCCATCCTTTTCATACTCACAGTCACCAAATATTATAGCAACATGTTTGTTTCTTTCCCCAGCTATTTGTGCTTGCTTTCATTTCATTGGTGCAGACTTCCTTCCCTTTTTCGTGATGACCATCAGCCAACCTGGGCCATGCATGCCTCCTGTGCACGGGAAGACCGCACCCAACAATTGATAAAATTATCATCCCACCCTTTTAAGGAGCCTAATCTTGAAATGCAAGCAAATTGGCAAAAGTTGCTTAGTGTCCTGCTTTCTTATGTGAGGCTGGTGCATGTAGTAATTCATACTGACCTTAAAATTAATACTCTCATCCAGAATTAATAGCTTTCTAATGATTAAAATTATCAAAAAATAATATTCTATAAAAATATATAGGACACTGCCTCCTAATAGGGAAGGTAATTATGGGCACATGCAAACGAGTAACTGCCTAATCTAAGAGAAATCCTTCGAGAAAGCAAAAGAGACGAGGATACATGCGCGTCTTTTTCTAGCATCATTAACCTGTCTAAGAAATTCTAAAACTTATTTATTTTATTAGGACAGAGGAAGTACATATAAGCCACACCCTGTAACACCCGGCTCAGGGCTTAATAGGATTAATAGGATATTCGTACCAACAAGTTGCAACTTCTTTTCTGGAAGCCCATCTCTTAAGAACTCCAAGGTTAAGCGTGCTTGGCCTAAAGCGATGGGTGACCAATCGGGAAGTTCTTCCCGGGTGCGCACGAGTGAGGACAAAGTACGTAGAAAAGACAATATATCCTAGTTAAGCTGCCAGATGTAAGCGAGCCCAGCCTCGGAGAGGTGGGACGTTACACACCCACTAGTCGTCTGCCCCAACTTAACAACAAATTCACTTGCAAGTATGTTTCGATGACTTTAATTTAGCTCTATTCTAAGTCAAACATTTTCTATATTTTCGCAAAAAAGCATCTTCAATAACATACATCAAAAAATTTAGTTGATTAAGTAGAAGATCCCATTCAGAATCAAGATGACTTTGTGTGAGTTAAGATCCAATTAATTAGATGGACAAAATCAACCCATATTGTTTCAATAAAAGATTTTTTTTACATAGCTTACATGGAAGACTTAGAGTTCAACACAAGAAAGTAAAACAAAGATAGGAAAACATAGTGATGGCATCATAATTAAAAATAAGAGATCACATGTGAAGTAACATATAGAAAACTAACATGAAAAAGACAAACCCTAGGATCCATTATATTATGACAGTTATGGGGGTTGTACTAAGTCAGCACTATCATAGAAGAACAATAATATTTATAATATCGATAAACATCACCAGATCCATTGTGAAATATATTTTTCATAGTTTATGTCGGTGTTTCGAACAGACATCGGCGAGTGAATTTATAATTATGCGCGTTAGGCCCGGATGGTGTGCTAAAGGACACAAGGTTTATACTGGTTCAGGCTAAATATCCCTACGTCCAGTCTGTTGTTGCTCGTGTTATTAGCATTGAAAGCGGTTCGTAGTACGGGGTACAAACGGTCGAGAGAGGGACTTGTCCCAGGTCTCTGATGGAAGGGTCGAAAGGAGACCAAGAGCCTGACGGCGGCTTGGCTGTGTATGTGAGTTGTTCGTTGAAAGTTGATCTCTCTTCTTTAGCGGGGTGCCCTGCCCCTCCTTTTATAGACCAAGGGGAGCGGGGCTTACATGGTGGAGGAAGGATAAAAAACCAGAGACCAAAAAGGTCCTCTGAAAGCGCCGGGTCTTCTTCTTCCTCTGTGTCAGCCCTCCCCCTGACACAGCCGGACGATGTCAGAGGGGGCGCGTTCGCCGGGTATGCGTGTGTTGACGACGTCATGCCCTGCAAGTGGTCACGTCCCATCCCGTCCCTGCGGGCAGCGTGTCGGACAGGGGTGTCGGCCTGCGATACTGTGGGGGGGGGGCGAACGGTGCGGCGCTCGTGCGCCTGTCACTACAGGAACGTGAGTCTCATAGCGGCGTTTGTGTCAGGCTCCGCGCCCGAGGGTTGAAGGCGGTGCCCACAATACTGTAGGCTGAAAAACCCAGTGCCTACAGCATTGTTTAGGCTCTGTCAGGTCTGGCAGGGCCTAAAGCGCCCGTCCCGTCGTACCTCGATGGTACTTGTTAGTGGCACATGGTATGGTCCCTGCTGCCGCGGTTTGACTCTAACATCCCGTCTTACCCTATTCCTGTCATCATGGAGGGGCAGAGCGAGGGCGTCAGGTGAGGCGATGTTCAGCCTTTGTCGGCCAGACGAGCGAGGCCAGCCCTTGGTCGTTGGACGGGGCGGAGCCCGCCCTCGGACATCGGGCGGGGCGGAGCTAGCTCCCAGACGTCGGGCGAGGCGGAGTCTGGCCCCCGGGGGTCGGGCGAGGCGGAGCCTGGCCCTTGAGGGTCGGGCGAGGTGGAATCGATCTCCCCGATCTTGGGCGAGAGGCGTCGTTGTGCTCCTGTCCGATTGGAAGTGTCAACAATGTTTATCAATTCTCCCTCATTGGGTACCCCAGTATTAGGTTCCCGACAGTTTATTTCCTAATACAGTAGGTATTAACATTAATTATAATTTGAAAAATATTATTGTTTATAAAATTGATCAAACTAAAGTTTATTCGCTATTGTTTTCTATCTTTTGATCAGCCCTGTACATTAATAGGAACAAGTGGGGCAACTGTTCAGGGCCTCCAAAATTGCAGGGCCTCCATATTTACACTAGGCCCTGTTCGCTTGTCTTAAAGTTTGGCTTGTTCGGCTTGTTTTTTCAGCCGGAACAGTGTTTTTCTCTCACAACAATTCAGCCGGAACAGTGTTTTTCAGCCGGTTTCAGCCAAAGTTCAGACCAGCGAACGGGACCAAGTAGTAATTAGCAATAATTAATCCTTGAATAGAAAAAAAAGATTCCACTAGGCCTGCAATCGCTAGTTTAGTATTGGCCCAAAGTAAGGCCTATGGTCATCCGCCGTGCCACCACCATACCACTTTCATTCCAATTGTCTATTGTTGTATCTTGGATAGGAGATTAACCAATTAGATAATCTAAAAATTCGCATTATAGTCAAGGGATTGGAGAGGAAATTTGTTTATTTCATTGATCTTCATCATGTCTTCTAGAAATAGGAGGTATGATTCTGGCCATGAAAAGCATAAGAAGAAGTAAAGATTAGAAGTTGTGGCTCAAACTCAAAGGGGTGCTCTTATATGTTGTGAAAGAATCTTAGTTTACTTCTTGAACTTTAGGGCCACATCGCACGTTTTGTTTAGGGTCCTCCAAATCATAGGTACAACCCTGCTTTGGATAACTATATTTGAATATAACTAATTAAAGAAGTTGATAGAGGGAGTTTTTTTTGCTAAAAATTCTATTTGTAGCAGTTAGAAAAGGATATAGAGAGTCTCTTAGAGTTGCTCTTAGGGGAGTTGTACTAAATCAACACTATCATGAGTTTGACCATGTTTATATGAAAGAGAACGATAATATATACAATGGTATATCAGCGAATATTGTTAGATCC